ATGCTCGGGTATAGTCTAGCATATATTCCTCAGCTGCACAGTGCTCTCATAATTCAGACCTGCCTCATTATTCAACATGCTGAGGTCGAGCATACACCATATCTTAGCCTTGAGCAGGTCAAGCATACACCAGATATACACCATGAGGAGGACGAGCATACACCAGATATACACCATGAGGATGACGAGCATACACCAGATATACACCATGAGGATGACGAGCATACACCAGATATACACCATGAGGAGGGCGAGCACACACCAGATCTACACCATGAGGAGGGCGAGCACACACCAGATCTACACCATGAGGAGGGCGAGCACACACCAGATATACACCATGAGGAGGGCGAGCACACACCAGATCTACACCATGAGGAGGGCGAGCACACACCAGATCTACACCATGAGGATGACGAGCATACACCAGATATACACCATGAGGATGACGAGCATACACCAGATATACACCATGAGGAGGGCGAGCACACACCAGATATACAGCATGAGGAGGGCGAGCACACACCAGATATACACCATGAGGAGGGCGAGCACACACCAGATATACACCATGAGGAGGGCGAGCACACACCAGATATACACCATGAGGAGGGCGAGCACACACCAGATATACACCTTGTATATACCGCTCTTGGTTTCCTATAATGTAGAGTGGGATCACCGCGTGTTTTACCCAGGAAGATCGTGCCCCGGTGTAAATTACTCCTGGGATAAAAGACTACCCGAGGATCGAGCCAACATCTTGCATCTGCATTATGCAAATCGTGGTATGCATAGCCAGCGTGGCGCATGTATACACAGGCGCACCCTGTGTGAAGAAAACCCTGTGTACTGGCTCACTCGGTGAAGAAAACCCTGTGTACTGGCTCACTCGGTGAAGAAAACCCTGTGTACTGGCTCACTCGGTGAAGAAAACCCTGTGTACTGTCTCACTCAGCGAAGAAAACCCTGTGTACTGGCTCACTCGGTGAAGAAAACCCTGTGTACTGTCTCACTCAGCGAAGAAAACCCTGTGTACTGACACAGTGAAGAAAACTCTGTGTACTGTCTCACTCGGTGAAGAAAACCCTGTGTACTGTCTCACTCAGTGAAGAAAACCCTGTGTACTGGCTCACTCAGTGAAGAAAACCCTGTGTACTGGCTCACTCGGTGAAGAAAACCCTGTGTACTGCCTCACTCAGTGAAGAAAACCCTGTGTACTGCCTCACTCAGTGAAGAAAACCCTGTGTACTGCCTCACTCAGTGAAGAAAACCTTGTGTACTGGCTCACTCGGTGAAGAAAACCCTGTGTACTGTCTCACTCAGTGAAGAAAACCCTGTGTACTGGCTCACTCGGTGAAGAAAACACTGTGTACTGTCTCACTCGGTGAAGAAAACCCTGTGTACTGTCTCACTCGGTGAAGAAAGCCCTGTGTACTGTCTCACTCGGTGAAGAAAACCCTGTGTACTGGCTCACTCAGTGAAGAAAACCCTGTGTACTGTCTCACTCAGTGAAGAAAACCCTGTGTACTGTCTCACTCAGTGAAGAAAACCCTGTGTACTGGCTCACTCAGTGAAGAAAACCCTGTGTACTGTCTCACTCAGTGAAGAAAACCCTGTGTACTGTCTCACTCGGTGAAGAAAACCCTGTGTACTGTCTCACTCGGTGAAGAAAACCCTGTGTACTGGCTCACTCGGTGAAGAAAACCCTGTGTACTGTCTCACTCGGTGAAGAAAACCCTGTGTACTGTCTCACTCAGTGAAGAAAACCCTGTGTACTGTCTCACTCGGTGAAGAAAACCCTGTGTACTGGCTCACTCAGTGAAGAAAACCCTGTGTACTGTCTCACTCGGTGAAGAAAAACCCTGTGTACTGGCTCACTCAGTGAAGAAAACCCTGTGTACTGGCTCACTCAGTGAAGAAAACCCTGTGTACTGGCTCACTCAGTGAAGAAAACCCTGTGTACTGGCTCACTCAGTGAAGAAAACCCTGTGTACTGGCTCATTCGGTGAAGAAAACCCTGTGTACTGTCTTACTCGGTGATGAAAACCCTGTGTACTGGCTCACTCAGTGAAGAAAACCCTGTGTACTGTCTTACTCGGTGAAGAAAACCCTGTGTACTGGCTCACTCAGTGAAGAAAACCCTGTGTACTGGCTCACTCAGTGAAGAAAACCCTGTGTACTGGCTCACTCAGTGAAGAAAACCCTGTGTACTGGCTCATTCGGTGAAGAAAACCCTGTGTACTGTCTTACTCGGTGAAGAAAAAACCCTGTGTACTGTCTTACTCGGTGAAGAAAACCCTGTGTACTGTCTTACTCGGTGAAGAAAACCCTGTGTACTGGCTCACTCAGTGAAGAAAACCTTGTGTACTGGCTCACTCAGTGAAGAAAACCCTGTGTACTGGCTCATTCGGTGAAGAAAACCCTGTGTACTGTCTTACTCGGTGAAGAAAACCCTGTGTACTGTCTCACTCGGTGAAGAAAACCCTGTGTACTGGCTCACTCAGTGAAGAAAACCCTGTGTACTGGCTCACTCAGTGAAGAAAACCCTGTGTACTGGCTCACTCAGTGAAGAAAACCCTGTGTACTGGCTCACTCAGTGAAGAAAAAACCCTGTGTACTGGCTCATTCGGTGAAGAAAACCCTGTGTACTGTCTTACTCGGTGAAGAAAACCCTGTGTACTGGCTCACTCAGTGAAGAAAACCCTGTGTACTGTCTTACTCTGTGAAGAAAACCCTGTGTACTGGCTCACTCAGTGAAGAAAACCCTGTGTACTGGCTCACTCAGTGAAGAAAACCCTGTGTACTGGCTCACTCAGTGAAGAAAACCCTGTGTACTGGCTCATTCGGTGAAGAAAACCCTGTGTACTGTCTTACTCGGTGAAGAAAACCCTGTGTACTGTCTTACTCGGTGAAGAAAACCCTGTGTACTGTCTTACTCGGTGAAGAAAACCATGTGTACTGGCTCACTCAGTGAAGAAAACCCTGTGTACTGGCTCATTCGGTGAAGAAAACCCTGTGTACTGTCTTACTCGGTGAAGAAAACCCTGTGTACTGGCTCACTCAGTGAAGAAAACCCTGTGTACTGTCTTACTCGGTGAAGAAAACCCTGTGTACTGGCTCACTCAGTGAAGAAAACCCTGTGTACTGGCTCACTCAGTGAAGAAAACCCTGTGTACTGGCTCACTCAGTGAAGAAAACCCTGTGTACTGGCTCATTCGGTGAAGAAAACCCTGTGTACTGTCTTACTCGGTGAAGAAAACCCTGTGTACTGTCTTACTCGGTGAAGAAAACCCTGTGTACTGTCTTACTCGGTGAAGAAAACCATGTGTACTGGCTCACTCAGTGAAGAAAACCCTGTGTACTGTCTCACTCGGTGAAGAAAACCCTGTGTACTGTCTCACTCGGTGAAGAAAACCCTGTGTACTGGCTCACTCGGTGAAGAAAACCCTGTGTACTGTCTCACTCGGTGAAGAAAACCCTGTGTACTGTCTCACTCAGTGAAGAAAACCCTGTGTACTGTCTCACTCGGTGAAGAAAACCCTGTGTACTGGCTCACTCAGTGAAGAAAACCCTGTGTACTGTCTCACTCGGTGAAGAAAACCCTGTGTACTGGCTCACTCAGTGAAGAAAACCCTGTGTACTGGCTCACTCAGTGAAGAAAACCCTGTGTACTGGCTCACTCAGTGAAGAAAACCCTGTGTACTGGCTCACTCAGTGAAGAAAACCCTGTGTACTGGCTCATTCGGTGAAGAAAACCCTGTGTACTGTCTTACTCGGTGAAGAAAACCCTGTGTACTGGCTCACTCAGTGAAGAAAACCCTGTGTACTGTCTTACTCGGTGAAGAAAACCCTGTGTACTGGCTCACTCAGTGAAGAAAACCCTGTGTACTGGCTCACTCAGTGAAGAAAACCCTGTGTACTGGCTCACTCAGTGAAGAAAACCCTGTGTACTGGCTCATTCGGTGAAGAAAACCCTGTGTACTGTCTTACTCGGTGAAGAAAACCCTGTGTACTGTCTTACTCGGTGAAGAAAACCCTGTGTACTGTCTTACTCGGTGAAGAAAACCCTGTGTACTGGCTCACTCAGTGAAGAAAACCTTGTGTACTGGCTCACTCAGTGAAGAAAACCCTGTGTACTGGCTCATTCGGTGAAGAAAACCCTGTGTACTGTCTTACTCGGTGAAGAAAACCCTGTGTACTGTCTCACTCGGTGAAGAAAACCCTGTGTACTGGCTCACTCAGTGAAGAAAACCCTGTGTACTGGCTCACTCAGTGAAGAAAACCCTGTGTACTGGCTCACTCAGTGAAGAAAACCCTGTGTACTGGCTCACTCAGTGAAGAAAACCCTGTGTACTGGCTCATTCGGTGAAGAAAACCCTGTGTACTGTCTTACTCGGTGAAGAAAACCCTGTGTACTGGCTCACTCAGTGAAGAAAACCCTGTGTACTGTCTTACTCTGTGAAGAAAACCCTGTGTACTGGCTCACTCAGTGAAGAAAACCCTGTGTACTGGCTCACTCAGTGAAGAAAACCCTGTGTACTGGCTCACTCAGTGAAGAAAACCCTGTGTACTGGCTCATTCGGTGAAGAAAACCCTGTGTACTGTCTTACTCGGTGAAGAAAACCCTGTGTACTGTCTTACTCGGTGAAGAAAACCCTGTGTACTGTCTTACTCGGTGAAGAAAACCATGTGTACTGGCTCACTCAGTGAAGAAAACCCTGTGTACTGGCTCATTCGGTGAAGAAAACCCTGTGTACTGTCTTACTCGGTGAAGAAAACCCTGTGTACTGGCTCACTCAGTGAAGAAAACCCTGTGTACTGTCTTACTCGGTGAAGAAACCCTGTGTACTGGCTCACTCAGTGAAGAAAACCCTGTGTACTGGCTCACTCAGTGAAGAAAACCCTGTGTACTGGCTCACTCAGTGAAGAAAACCCTGTGTACTGGCTCATTCGGTGAAGAAAACCCTGTGTACTGTCTTACTCGGTGAAGAAAACCCTGTGTACTGTCTTACTCGGTGAAGAAAACCCTGTGTACTGTCTTACTCGGTGAAGAAAACCATGTGTACTGGCTCACTCAGTGAAGAAAACCCTGTGTACTGGCTCACTCAGTGAAGAAAACCCTGTGTACTGGCTCATTCGGTGAAGAAAACCCTGTGTACTGTCTTACTCGGTGAAGAAAACCCTGTGTACTGGCTCACTCGGTGAAGAGAACCCTGTGTACTGACTCACTCGGTGAAGAAAACCCTGTGTACTGGCTCACTCAGTGAATAAAACCCTGTGTACTGACTCACACGGTGAAGAGAACCCTGTGCACTAACGCACATGGTGAAGTGAACCCTGTGCACTAACGCACATGGTGAAGAGAACCCTGTATACTAACGCACATGGTGAAGAGAACCCTGTGCACTAACGTACATGGTGAAGAGAACCCTGTATACTAACGCACATGGTGAAGAGAACCCTGTGCACTAACGCACATGGTGAAGAGAACCTTGTGCACTAACGCACATGGTGAAGAGAACCCTGTGCACTAACGCACATGGTGAAGAGAACCCTGTATACTAACGCACATGGTGAAGAGAACCCTGTGCACTAACGCACATGGTGAAGAGAACCCTGTATACTAACGCACATGGTGAAGAGAACCCTGTGCACTAACGCAC